AATTTTGAATATATATCTTTTATTTCAGTGGACTAGAAAAGGATGACCAATGCTTTTCGTAAGAGGAGCAAGTATTTTAGAAGATAGTATGGCTGAATTGCAAATGATCCTAGGAAGTCCCTGGGGCCCAAGAGGAAATGGCTATGCCCACAAGATAGTTTGCAGTAGATTCAGATTGGAGAACCCTGCAAAAAATAATATTGAAAGTCATACCTCAACACACTTCCTATCTATTCTGTTTTCCTAAACAGAGCCAAGTAAATATGCCAACAAAACCAACTGTGTTTAATGCTGACTATAGTATTATACAGGTAAAGAACATGGACCCTGGAGTTGATTTAAGTTAATGTTCTACCACTTACTAACTATATGACTTGGGACAAATTATTTCCCATATAAAAAATAGATAATCCCATATATCTCCCTTGTAGGATTTTATGATGATTAAGTAAGGTGGTAATCCATGTAAAGCAATGAGCAGAATCCCTGGCATATATTAAGTGCTAATAAATATTTGCTATTAGCTAATAGCAGTAGCAGAGAGAGCAGATATGTGTCCAGTGTGCATGCTACTCCCTCCCCCAATCCATTTAGTCCAAAGAATGAATATCTCTTTTACTGTAATGTTGTAAACTTAAGATCCATGCCTTTAAAATACATATTAACAAGAGAAAACCTGTAAGTGCCTTTCCAGGATCAGCTGATGCTCTTCTTAACTTTAAAGTGAGGAAAATAAGGTCACAACAGTAGGATTAGAGAAGGCTCTAGTTCTCCTGGTTCATAGTCTTTGTTTTTTACCACATGTATCTAAATCTCAGAATCATGTGACCCTTTTTATTCTTAACTAAGCTTTCACTTCAAAGGAAACTAATTTTTCTCTGTACTTTTGTGTTTGGCATTTTTATTTAAATAGCTTAAAAATCTTTGAACTGAAATTAAAAAATGAGTGTTAAAGCAAATTAGAAAATGGTTGATTATACATAGATTTCTTTGTTAGAGAATTAAAAACTGGTAACAGTGCTGCCTCTTGGGAGGGACACAAATACTGGAGTACAAGCAGCTAGCATTGATTATGGTGGTATCTGATGAGGTGTTTCTGAGACCTGTAAATTCTGGAGAATAGTCAATTCTTCCAGTTCACTTACAGATTAATAGAGTAGAATAAGGAAGAAAGTAATAATAAGTATATCTAATTATTTGAAACTATATAGATTCAAATAAAATTTTGGAGATGTCCCTTGTAATAACCACATTCTTAACATTTACTACCCAAATTTCAGGAGCCAAACAGATTTGTATAAGAGGGGACACTTTGGTTTCATTTGGGTGAGGACTGCTCCTGCGAATTGTATTGATGTGCCTCTAACTTAGTGGGGGACCCTGGGTAAATTTCTTAACCTAATTTCTCTTCTGCTAGTGGATATAGACGGTGAGCCTTATTCTTACCCAGTACATGGGGTTTTGAGGTAAAAAATGAAGTCATGTAAAAATCAACTGAATTCTATGTTCAGCCTTGTTAGAATACTACGAGCTTAACTTGAACTTGTAGGAGAGAATAAGAGAAATGTGTTAACAACTGCATGTTGTTCATGCTAGGTTACATTGTAGTATTCATCTTTCAAAAAAAGAGAAAGGAAAGGCCAGATTCAACTATGCTTTGGCCACTTTATATACTTTCCTGTGTGTGTTTTATAGTGTAATGTTTGAGACTTCTACTTTCTGTTTAAAACTTAGGATTTTTGAGAGCCAGTTTACTTCTGAATAACTTCCTCTTTTCTGAAATAAGAAGAAACACTTTTAAATAAAGTAATCCAAATATGTTTAAAGGTTATTAATTGTAGATTTTAGAGCACAGCATTCAAGAAAGCACCAATGGTATCTGTTTAGTACCTCTGACAATTACGTATTTAATTATTTAATGAAATTATTATGATAGAAGTAATAGTTAACCTCAGTGTTCAGTGCTACAAGCATATTTTTAAAAATTGAGGCTGCTTAGTTATATAATGAAATCATAAATAGCTTTTTTAATGCAGCAGACTTACTCAAGGAAAATAACAAAGTACCTGAAATTACTATGTATGGGCAGTAACTTTTTCTTACATTTAAGATAATAGGTTATGAGGATATGTTTTAAGAAACAGGATAGTTAAATAGTCTTGAGCTATCTTCCCATGAGATACTAAAGTACAAAGGGGAATCTGATGCAGAGTTCAAAACACTGGTAATCAGGATGCTCGAAGATTTGATTGAGATTGGTCACAAAATGAAGAGGGAAATGAAGACTACACAAAGTGAAATAAAGCAAAATATACAGGGAATTAAAAGTGAAGGGAAGGTAACTGGAACTCAAATCAACAATTTGGAACAAAAGAAAAAAAATAAACATCCAACTGGAACAGAATGAAGAAACAAGAATTCCAAAAAAATGAGGAGAGGCTTAGGAACCTCTGGACAACTCCAAACACTCCAACATCCAAATCATAGGAATACCAGAAGGAGAAGAACAAGAGCAAGAAGTTGAAAACTTATTTGAACAAATAATGAAGGAAAACTGCCCCAATCTGGCAAAGGAAATACACTTCCTGGATATCCAGGAAGCCCAGAGATTCTCAAAGAAATTGGACCTAAGGAGGAATACACCAAGGCACATCATAATTAAATTACCCAAGGTTAAACATAAGGAAAGAACCTTAAAAGCAGCAACAGGAAAGGAGACAGTTACCTACAAAGGAGTGCCTATAAGACTATCAGCTGATTTCTCAAAAAAAATCTTACAGGCAAGAAGGAGCTGGAAAGAAGTATGTGAAGCCATGAAAGGCAAGGACCTACATCCAAGATTACTCTACCCAGCAAAGCTATCATTTAGGGAAGGGCAGATACAGTGCTTCCTAGATAAAGTCAAGTTAAAAGAGTTCATCATCACCAAGCTCCTATTATATGAAACGTTAAAGGAACTTATCTAAGAAATAGAAGATCAAAAACTGTGAACAGTAAAATGACACCAAACTTACAACTATTAACAACTGAACCTAAAAACAAAACAAAACAAAAAACTAAGCAAACAACTAGAACAGGAACAGAATCACAGAAATGGAGATCACATGGAGGGTTATGCATGGGGAAGGGAAGTGGGAGAATGGGGATAAAAGGTACAGGGAATAAGAAGCATAATAGGAAGATATAAAATAGACGGGGAGGTTAAGAATAGTATAGGAAATGGAGAAGTCAGAGAAGTTATATGTACAACCCATGGACATGAACTAAGGCGGGGGCGGGGGATGCTGGAGGGTGATGGGAGGGTACATCACTAGCATCACTGCCTCAGTTCCACCTCAGGTCATCAGGCATTAGATTCTCATAAGGAGCATGCAACCTACATTCCTTGCATGTGCAGTTCACAGTAGGGTTTGTGCTCCTGTAAGAATATAATGCTGCCGCTGATCTGACAGGAGGCAGAGCTCAGGCAGTAATGTGAGTGATGGGAAGCGGCTGTAAATACAGATGAAAGTTTGCTCACTGGGTGGCTCTCTTGCTGCTTACCTCCTGCTGTGCAGCCTGGTTCCTCAACAGACCAGCCAGGGGTTGAGGATCCCTGGATTAAATGATAGTACTGTATCATTATTACTTTTCTGGTTGTGATCATTGTGCTATCTTTATATTAGATAATATTGATGTTTTCAGGAAACACACTGAAGTATTTAATTTTAAAGAACCTATATGTCTACCTCTTTCAAATAAATCAGAAAAAAATATAGGTGTAGAAATAATAATATAGAAAGATTGATAGACATGATTATGTGTTAAAATTACAGGAATATGGATGAAGTTTGTAGGGGAATTTGTTCTACTTTTACAATCTTTTTAAGTCTGAAATTTTTTTAAAAGGGCATAGTAAGTTAATGAGATTAGTCACTAACTGATTTTTCCTTTTTTTGCATTGCTGTTTATTTCATATCAGTCACTTGAGGGATGATGATTTACAGAGAAATGTTAAATGAAAGTGTACCAAATGAATAATACCATTACAAATGCTAAGTAGGGCAATATAAAAGGGTTGATAAGTATCAAAACATTTTTACTATATTTGAGAAGTAATTCTTTTGTAGACAGCCCTCATTATTACTTCCATGTATATATTATGATCCATGTATACATTATATTGATACATTCAAAAAAAATTTTATATGCTTTTCACTCTTAAGATTGAATTCCTTTCATGAAGTTAGCTGATTTTTCAGCAGATTCTTCAGAACCTCTCTGGGTCAGTTTCCTGATCTGTCAAATGAGGCAGCTGGACTAGATTATACTTTAAGGGTCCTTTCAGTTCTAAAATTCTGAGATCTCATTATTAGAAAGAAAATGAAAGTCAATTTTCCCATTTGAGTCAAAAGTTGTTGTTAAATACAGCTTGTGTGCCAAGTGACAGTGCAATACTTATTTAAACTCATAGATATTTTTCTGTCAAACTTTTGTTGATTGTATTTAATCATACATTTGTATGCAATTTCTCATGCATTAAAGTTATTAGTAAATATACCTGGCTGGTTTAGCTCAGTGGATTGAGTGCCCGACTGCGAGCCAAAGGGTTGCCAGTTTGATTCCCAGTTAGGGCACATGCCTGGGTTGCAAGCCAGGTCCCCAGTAGGGGGCGAGTGAGAGGCAACCACACATTGATGTTACACTTTCTCCCTCCCTTCCCCTCTCTCTAAAATTAAATAAACAAAATCTTAAAAAATATATATATATTAGTAAATTTAATGTGGTTTATAAGTGTACTTTTATAGAATTTTTAAGTGAAAACTTGGTTGTTAAGACTCAAGATTAATAATGAAAGTTTATTATCTTAATAGATATATAATCACTTCAACCTAGAAGGATTGTCAAGGTATAAGTAGCTGATGGTATAAAAATTATATTGATGTTTAGTATAAAATAATTTTTGGTTATATCTAACAAAAATTAATTTTGTCAATTCTTTTTTCCCTCATCTCTCCCAGCTTGGTGATCCAGCTATTTTTCCTGCTGTAATAGTGGAACATGTCCCTGGTGCTGATATTCTCAATAGTTATGCGGGCCTAGCCTGTGTGGAAGAACCCAATGACATGATTACTGAGAGCTCCCTGGATGTCGCTGAGGAAGAGATCATAGATGATGATGATGAAAACATAACCCTTACAGGTGTGTGTGCCTCCAGCAGCACTTTACTTCAGCCTCATTTTAGGCAATGTCCTAGCCCTGTAATTTTGGGGGCATATAAAGTCCCTAACTTGATGTTAAATGACTCCATTACGTGCAGAGGTTAGAGCCAGCCTTGTAGGGAGAAGGAAATTTCATTTTCTATCTCATCTGTCTATGTTTCATAGTTATTTCTGACCTCCCCTTCTTCTTTCCTAAATATATTGAGAAGAATGTGACAAAATAAGGAGGCTTACAAGAGGAACCAAACCAACTCAGTTCATCAAGTCTTCTCTGAGCATTTTTTATATACTTAGCTCTACATTCCTGATGGCAATGAGAATTTGTTGGTAGGGGAAAAGATAGGAAAGTTTTATTTGTTTGTTTTTTACTGCCATTGCTTAAAGCAAAACACGAGGCAATGATACAAATGTAGGATAAGGTACTGAGGTTTAAAGAAGATTCTTTTTCTTGTCAGTCAGAAGTAGGAGGATATTTCAAACTTGAAAAGTTTACTCTGTGATGTAAGTATGGGGTATAGTGGTAGTGCTGTTTTTATCAGTTTTAGAAGTCAGTGCACACACTCATTGTTATACAGGTACATGAAGAGATGTTAGAAGTATTTGAGAAAATCAGTTATTTGGAAGCAAAGATTATTTAAATCGTCTTAAATTGAAAACAACAGAAAATTAACATTAGTCACAATACTATTAGCTAAACCCTAGATCTTATGTGTAGGTTTCACCCATTTCATACTAATGTCCTTTTTCTGTTCCAGGATCATATCTGGAATCTCATGTTGGTTGCATTTAGTTGTTATTTCTTCTTAGTCTCTTCCAGTCTGTGCCTGTTCCTTTTTTTTATCTTGTCTCTCATAACCTTGACAGTTTAGAGGAGTACTGGTTAGATATTATAGAATGTCTTTTCAATTATGTGTGATATGTTTCTCATGATTGGAATGCAAGAATATCATCAAAATGGCATTGTCTCCTTTTCAGTGTATCATATTAACATAATTGATTTAAAATACATTGTCTCAATTAATTTTCACAACAGAAAAAGAAAATGGAAATTAGAGAGGTAAAATTAAATGATTTGCCTAAGGCCACACACCAAGTGACTGAGCCCCCATTGGTAACATTGGCCGAACAACCCTTGGTTCATTTATTTTTTATAAAGCATGTTCTTATATAGAGATGTATTCATATTTTTTATTTGCAGAAACCCAGTGGAAGTTTTTGGTTAAGTCTAAATTTGTTTCTCCCTTATGGATAAAAGAATTAAATTAATCAAGTTAGAGGTTTCTATTCATTGCTGACTGTGATGTATAGGTTTTGTCTAACAGAATGACCACCATTGTGCATCTATCTGTTGGGCAGCTAGTGACATTTTTGCAGACTATTCTGAATTCTCAGTGCCTTAGGGGAAGGCTACACTCTCTGTAGGTTGCACACAAGGGTCTTCCCAGTTTTAGTCATCAGGGAAGATACTGGTCTTCAAAGAAAGGAAATCAGATCTTAGATCTTTAAGAGAAGGAATTTCTTCTTTCTTCCAGTGTGTCATTCTCTTAGGCTTAGACTTGAAGATAGCTAATGGTGAGGTACAGACAGGTTCCTTCCTCCCTTCCTGGAAAGCAGAACTGGTAAGGAATGGGTCCAGAAATCAAACATGTCTTGAAAACCAGATTTGCTTTTCTCATGTTTCTTCTCCCTCCTCCCTCTCCTTTTTAAAGATTTATGTATTTTTAGAGAGAGGGGAGGGGCGGGGAAGGAGAAAAAGAGGGAGAGAAACATCAATGTGAGGTTGCCTCTTACACGCCCTGTATTGGGAACCTGGCCCACAACCCAGGCATGTGCCCTTGTTGTACCTGTGTGTACAACACAGGGCATGTGTACCTGTTATCTATAACACCTGATTTCAAATTTTCATGTTCATCAAAACACTTTCATTTTTATCATTGACTTATCTCATACCATTTGATATAAATTTGAACCTATAAAATAAATGTATAATGATAAAATACCACTTTCATCCATTTATATGTTGGAGTTCCACATAGGGTTTTTTAAAAAAGATTTTATTTACTTTTAGAGAGAGGGGAAGGGAGGGAGAAAGAGGAAGAGAAACATCAATGTGAGGTTGCCTCTCATGTGTTCCCCTGACCTGAAACCTGACCCACCACCCAGGTATGTGCCCTGACTGGGAATCGGGCTGTTGACCCTTTGGTTCGCAAGCCAGTACTCAGTCCACTGAGCCACACCAGCCAGAGCCCACATAAAGTTTTATTTGAAAAAAGGTTGTGCTATTAAAAAAATGGTTTTTAAGATTTTATTTATTTATTTTTAGAGAGAAGGGAAGGGAGAAAGAAAGGGGAGAGAAATATTGGTGCAAAAGAGAAGAATCAATTGGTTGTCTTTCATATGCACCCCGCAGGAGACTGAGCCCTAAACCCAGGAATGTTCTCTAACTGGAAATCTAACCAGTGACCTTTCAGTTTGTGAGATGACACCTAACCAACTAAGCCTCACTGGTCAGGGCTGTGCCATTAAAACATTTTTAAACATTTATTTACATTTTAGTGTGTTTTAAACATTAAGAAAAAAACTTAGACAAGGCACAGTCCATAGTAGGAGAATTAGTGTTCTACAGTACATACTAGAAAATAATGGCAACAGAATTAACAAAAGGTGTTTAGATTTTAATAATATGACTACAACTAAATATTTTTGGAGATGGTAGCAATTCACCAGCTATAGAGGAATGGAAGAAGAGTCAAGAGATTAACAGAGACCCTAGTTCTTTCCAAGAGTGTTGGGATCAGTGTTAGAGCTGAAAGGGACCTAACAAAATCAACCCAGTCATTTTATACTAATTCTGTTTTTTCTTTGAATATATTATAGTTGAAGCTTCCTGTCATAATGAAGATGAAACAATTGAAACTATTGAGGCCGCTGAGGCACTCCTCAATATGGATTCTCCTGGCTCTATGCTAGATGAAAAACGAATGAGTGAGTAGTTATGTGTCAATGATTGTTCATGTTTATATACTTTGACAATTATTCTTGCCGTCTCTCTCTATTAAATTGTAAATATAAAGAGACATGAGACCATATTTTATACTTCTTTTTCTTCCAAGAGCATTACTATTTGATGAACCATTGCAAAGGTGTTCAATTAAACAAGACTTTTAAAAAAAATTGGGGATTGAGACCTTTAGGAATAAAAAAGTAATTTATATAGTTGTCAAAGGGCAGATTATGCAGAATTTCTTCTCTTAACCTTATTGGTAGAAGGATTAGGGTACTTGGGGCCCAAACTATTATTACTTAGTGATTTCTGTAGATCTTCATCAGTGAATGGGAAACACCCATTTAAAAATTTTCTAGCACTTCATGGCATAAAATTCACTGCCCCATTTAGTCTGCTTTTATTTATTTATTGTTGGGGGGAGGGCAAGCAGAGGGGGCAAGGAAAGCAACTTTATTTGGAAAGCCAGTGAGCTGAGTAGATGGGGACTAGTATCCTAAAGAACCATCTTGAGAAAGTACAAAATTCAGGCTTCTTTTATTTCAAGGGAAGGAGGAAACTGAGGGATTTGAGGTCAGGGGTGACTGATGATACAGACATTAGCAAGGGTCCAAGGGGAATGGTGAAACTTCAAACTTCGGTTGCCAAGGTCTCAGTAAGGAGGTTCCTATAAATCTGTTTTCTCAGTCAAGCTCTCTATCAGCCCCATTTTATTTTACCACTTTCATCCCACGAAGTTCTCCAAAGAACTGCCGCAGCACGTGGGCAGGCTTCTCATCTGGCCACAGACATTCTTATCTGCTTTTAAATCCATGTTCTCCTTTGGGCTTTTCTAACAAGAAAGTAGTTAAACTAAAAATTAATTAATACTAAATCAATTCATGATATTTATGGAATATTTTCTATACACACCAGTGCATTAGACAATGTTATTATACAAGTGAATGGATACAACCTCTTTCCTCAGTCTTACAATTAAATTTTGAAAAGTTATTTATGTAAATAATTGTAAAAAACAAAAATGGAAGTCATTAGAGGGACAACAATGTTTTCTGGGAGGAGAGAGAGTACTTTAGCTGACAGCATCAGAGACAGGCTTTATGGAGGGAGTGTTTTGACTTGGGCTATAAATGACAAATAAGCTTTAAATGGGTAGTGGAGCCAGGAAAGGATGTTCAAAGTACAAGAAAAGAATTGAGCCAAAGATACAGATCTGTAAAAAAGAATGAAGTGTTGTATGCAAACATGCTTTGGTATAGCTGAGTGGAGATAAGATTGGAAGGTAGATTTGATCCAGACTGTGGAAGCTTCACATGGCATGGTGGGGAGTTTGGGTTGTTCTTATCTTTTCTGTCCTACAAACTATGGAAAGATATGTCCATTTTCCTTTTCTTTTTAATTTTCAGGTGGAAAGTTTTTATGGAGAAGAAGAGTATGGTCAGATCAGACTTAGTTTTCAGAGAATCACTTTAGCAGCAATGTGAAGAATGGAGAAGAGAGAAGGAAGATAGGAAGTTAACTAAGGGAGACATTGAAATAATTCAGTCAAGCCTGGACTGATTTAGGGTATCTGATTTGGGGCAGAGGAAATAAAAAGCAAGGGCCAAATTTCAAGATTTTATTTCTATTTTATTCTTCCTAGAAACAGGAAATTCCTTTATGAAATTATTTTGATTTATAATACAAAGTTGATGATTAGTCGATTTTATTTCCATCAGATAATAATATTTTTAGTTCATCTGAAGATGACATGGTTGTTACCCCAATCACGCATGTATCCGTCACATTAGATGGGATTCCTGAAGTGATGGAAACTCAGCAGGTTCAAGATGTACACTCACCGGGAGCCTCCTCACCAGAACAACCTAAGAGAAAGAAAGGTGGGTAGTTAATTTGTTTAGGAAAAAAAAATCAAGTATTGATGTGGAATCTAAACATAAATTTTATTTAAGAATATTTCTGTATCGCTTAAAACTTATATAAGAAATTGAGGACACAAAACATAAGAGGCATTCCTTTGTATTAGATTTCTTTTGTAAAAAGTTCAATTATTTACACGTTTAAAATATTTGATCTTACAGAAAAGATATTTTACAACTTTTTAAAGCCTCAGTCTTTTATCTAAACCCTTTTATCCATACTTAGAGCTTGGGGATAGGAGCAGGTCAGCTTCCTCTCATAGGATATAGTTTGAAAACCACAGGCATAGATATAGATTCCAATATAATATTCTAGTGGGAAAAATATGAGTTGACATCAGCAAGTAAGTAATTGAAGAGGAAAATGTTAGAATGTATTAAAGGGAATTTTCAACTTTTCACAAATTAGGACCATTCTTAAATTTTAAAGTTTAACACTCTTTCCATTGTATTACATTCTGATTCTAGTCCAGCTTGTTTAATATTTTGAGTTTAATATCTTAGTTAATGGCATCACCACCAGCCACCAAGTAACCTAACTTCATGTAAAAGTAGGAGAAATTCCAAGGGTCAAAAATGAAGAGGAAAATGAAAACAGTATGAATGAGCTGAAACTGCAGCAGTTCTGAAGGGCTGTGAAGGATGTGTCAGTCTTGCTATTCAGGCTGCTTTGGGTTTTATTGCTCTTGTAGAGGCAGATGCTTAAGACTTGGTCCAATGCAATATGGGGTATTGGACAAAGACTTCAGCATATAATTGGGGTCCTTGAAAGGCTATTACCTCAGGAGAAAAACAATTGTCCATTGGTACAGACAGATATCATGAAGCTTATATTTCTTAGCTGCAACTCTGAGTAGAGAAATTCCTCCTTTGGAAATTCATAATCTTATACTAGCCTTAACCTAGGTTTACAACTAGATTTTAAACTGTCACCGTCTTTAGGAATTCCCAGCCAAGTAATTTACATGAAGGAAAGCCCAGGCTAGCAATAACACTGGGACACGAGGCAGAAGTTCTTGTAAAATTGTTCTGACAAATCATGCATTTAAACTGGGCTGCACGGGATTTCCTCAAATAAAACCCTGTTGAAGGTGAACTCACATTTCAATATTACAGGCTATATGAGGAAGCCACTTCTTGAATGAGAAGCAGCAGACATAGAAAATCCTAGGGTTAATTCTCTAGAACTTCAGATAACAGAATTATCAAATAGATATGTTCAATGAGTATGTTTGCAATTATTCAAGCAAACAAATTAAAAAACATTGTCAAAGAATAAGACTTAAAAAATGCCAGGTAGTACTTCCTTTTCTAGTCAAGATAGAATAATAGAAGCTGCTAGGCAGCAATTTTTTGGATATGACATAAAAGCACAATCAGAAGAAGCAAAAATAAATATGTGATACTACATTAAACTAAAAATTTCTGCACATCAAAATAAACAACAAAATGAAAAGGCAACCTATGGAATGGTAGAAAATATTTGCAAATCATGTATCCAAAAAGGAATTAATAGCCCTGGCTGGTGTGGCTCAGTGGATTGAGCGCCAGCCTGTGAACCAAAGGGTCACCAGTTTGATTCCCAGTCAGAGCACATGCCTGGGTTGCTGATCAAGTCAGGTCCCCAGTAGGGTCATATGAGAGGCAACCACATAGTGATGTTTCGCTCCCTCTTTCTTCCTCCCTTCCCCTCTGTCTAAAATGAATAAATAAAATTTAAAAAAAGAAGAAGCAGCTCTCTATTTAGAGGGAAAAAGGAATTAATAGCCAAGCTATGTAAGGAATTCAAACAATTCAATAGCAAAAAAAAAAAGCCCCACAAATCTAATTAAAAAATGGACAGAGGACCTGAGTAGATAGTTTTCTAAAGACAATGTACAGATGGCCAAGAGGTACATGAAAAAATGCTTAGCATCACTAGTCATCAGGAAAATGTAAATCAAAACCCAGTGCATACCACCTCTCACCTATTAGAATGGCTATCATCAGAAAGACACGAGATAACAAGTGTCGAATAATGTGGAGAAAAAGGAACCCAACTGTACTGCTTGTGGAAATGTAAATTGGTACAGCAACTATGGAAAATAGTAAGATTCCTCAAAAATTAAGAATAGAGCTACCATATGACCCAGCAATTCCTGTTTTGCATATCTACTCAAAAATGTGAAAACATTTATTCATAAAAATATATGTACCCCTATGTTCATTGCAACGTTATTCACAGTAGCCAAGATATGAAGATAACCTATGTGTTCTTTGACAGATGATTGGATAAAGAAGAAGTGGTCCATTTATACAATGGAATACTACTTAGCCATTTAAAAATTATGAATGTGGCCATTTGTGACAACATGGATAGATCTTGAGAGTATCATGCTAAGTGAAATGTCAGATGGAAAAGGACAAGAACTGTATGATTTTACTCATATATAGGATATAAAGTAAAAAGCAACAAATAAACCAAGCCAAACAAGCAAACAAGCAAACTCATAGACACAGGCAATAGTATGGTGGTTACTAGAGGGAGAGAAGAGTGGTAGAAAGATGAAGAGGGCAAAAGGATGTCAAACATATAGTGACAGAAAGAGACTAGACTTTGGGTGGTGAGCACACAATGCAATATGGAGATGTGTTATAGAATTGTACACCTGAAACTTATTTAATGTTATTAACCAATGTTATCCTAATAAATTTAATTTAAAAAATTAAAATTAAAAACAAAAATGTATGAATGGTTGGTTACATATGAATTGGTAGGGTAGGGAAAGGTAAGAGATAAATAATATGAAAGGGCACAGTGTATTCTTGAAGGTGAAGAATATGTTAATTATCTTGAATGCAGTGATGGTTTTGCAGATGTGTATGTATGTCAGAACTTATCAAATTACCAACTTTAAACGTGCAGTTTATTGTACAGCAGTTGAACCTCAAAAAAGCTGTTTTTAAAAAGTATAAAGTAAGCATTCTACTTACTGGTGAAAGACTGATATGATAAGGAACCAAATAGAATGCATAATATATGGGTTAAACAGAAGAGTAGTCACTACTGAAGAAAGAATCATTAAGCTCCAATATAGATCTGATATAGAATAAACAAACACTAAAGAGTTAGAGATGTGAGGATTGAGTGAAAAGGCTTCCATTTAGCCCATGTCTGGTAGTTCAGATGGTTAGAGCATCATCCTGATATGCCAAAGTTGTAGGTTTGATACCTGGTCAGGGCACATACAAGAATCAACCAATGAATGCATAAATAAGTATAACAATAAATTGATGTCTCTGTCTGTCTGTCTCTCTCTTCCCTTTCCTACCATTTCCCCCTCCCTCCCTCTTCCCCCTTCCTCTCTCTTTCTAAAATCAATCAATAAAAAAATAATTAAAAAAGAAAAGGTCTCCATTTACTCAAAGCTCCAGGAAGAGAGACTATATAGAATAAAAAAAGGACAATATTCAAAGGTAATGACTGAGAATATTCCATAATAATGTTAGTCTTAACATGGTGAATACTGAGTAGTGTAACTAAAATAAATAGACTTTTGTCTAAATTCCCTGTAGTAAAAATGCAAAACACCAAATACAGTCTCAGCCCTGCTCCCCCCCAAAAGAACAAACAAGGGAGAAACTAGTATGTTACTTAAAGAGAATTGATTATTAAATTGGCAGCTTAGAATCTCCCAGTAGGGGCTGGTATCTTCAAAGTACTGACAAGAAATAATTGTCAATTAAAAATTTTATATTGTCTCAGCTGGTGTGGCTCAGATGGTTGGAGCATTGTCTTGTAGACCCAAGGATTTCCTGTTGATTGCTGGTCAGGGCACATGCCTGGGTTGCAAGTTTGGTCCCCATTTGGGGTGTGTGCAAGTGGCAGTCCATCAGCGTTTCTATCTCACATTGATGTTTCTCTCCCCCTTGCCCCCCTTTCCCCTTTCTCTAGAATCAATAAAAGAAAAAAAAATTTATACCAAACTAAGCTACAATATAATTCACATAAAGCTGTGTATATTGCCACCCTGAGTGGTAAGGAAAGTGATGGAAAGGCTACTGGTAGTGTCCGTCATGACTAAAACTAGGGGAGGAAAACAGTGGGATAAAGAAAATAGTATCTATTGGGAAAAAACAGGTAAATATCAATAGAAAGCATAAAATGAGTGGTTAGGAGTGATAGGAGCTAACTGATTTCTTGTCTTCTGATACTTGTTATCATTAACACAATCAGCCCTAAAAAACTGCCTCATGAATGGGTTTTCTGTAGATGTCTGCAGTGATGAAAGTGGAACCTGGTTGACAAGGTTACACATTTATACATTTGGTAGTCTTAGGAGGGACCTGAAGAGTGACATTTTTGACCCTCTTCTCTCTGACTCTTGTTCACCTGTGAGAGAGTCAGCCTCGAGAATGTTGGAGTAAGAGGTACTAACTCAAGTATCCAGTCATGCTTAGTATTTGTTGTTTCTCACATACTAAATGGTAATCTGTTTGGACAACATGATTATTTCTACCTAAATCACAGGCAGCAATGCCAACAAATTGTTGTTAAAGGGAAGTGGCAAAAGAAGATTACGAGGCTTTAGGATAATTAGTTGATCCAGAGTAAGGCTACACAAAACACAATTTAACAGTGTTGGGATGGACTTGTTTAGAGGTTGGATGAAGGATAACCATAAAGTTTGTTTGTTGTAAACAGAAATAAATAAATAAATAATAGATGTTTTAAAATATACAGCAAAATGAAAACTGACTGTGGTTCACCGAAGTTTTTGCTTCATTTATTTTTTATATTTCTAGATTTGGGGGAAGTTTTCAGTATTTGAGAACTAACTGTGCAGAGATATATTTAGAAGAGAATAAAGATAAAAATTCACTTTTCCTACCTTAAAAAACTTACATAACCAATAGCAGACATACCTATATGGCATATTTTTTTTAGCTCAAGTTTTATCAGAATCAGGAATATTCCCCTGAATTTTAAGAAAGCACTGTCAGTGTTGTCAACTCAAAGATGAGCTGCAGTGTTTCAAACTTAACCACATGTTTACAAATGAGCCAAAATATCATTGTCAGAGTATTTGTGATCTAACCTACATCAATGTTAAATTTTTACTGAAATGAACATTTTCCTTTTAGCAAATACCAATTAAGGAGACCAATATATATATATATATAATCCTAGTGTAAAATGTTTGACACTTGAAATTTAGGATAAAGGACAAAATAGCAATTATTAATAGCTAAATTGTGCACACTTTCACACTTTTGAGGGCAAATATATATGCAGAGCTGTTTTGCTTTCAGGAAGAAAAACTAAACCACCACGACCAGATTCCCCAGCCACTACACCAAACATATCTGTGAAGAAGAAAAACAAAGATGGGAAGGGTAAGTACTACTGTAATTTTCCTATAATACTTACAGGTCAAATAACATTCAGGTTGCTTTAAAATGTCTTTATATTGTAAGCAGAAACCACCAGCTTTCTTGATATATTTAAAATGGATCTTATTGCTGCCACATGCTAATAAGATAAGTTGTCACTCTCCATAAAGAGCATGGTAATAATGTAGGCCAAGAAATTCATTTAAAAGATTTTCATTCATCTGTTAAAATAATCCATTCATTCATTTAATAATGAGTCTCTTGGAAGAGTTCAGCTAGGTTAGGTTTTCAGTTTATAGACATATTACATTGTGTTGGGGTTCTAGTATTTTAATAACTGCTGCCCAAATCTGAAGAAAATTGTTATGCTAATCAACTGCCTCTAATATAAAGAGAACAACTATTGGAAGATTTTGTACAAGTCTTTTTCACTGTTTCTTTTTGTAATGGTTCTTAAAGAAGTGGGGGGGAAATCGCCTCAAATTGCTTTCTCCCTAAGTCATCTCAAATCTAATTAGCAAGATTGCTCTGTTGAGATATCTTATGTGGGACTAATAAAAAATCTGTATTAGACCCTAAAAATTATAACTATTGTATTATCAATACTAACTGAATTCTGTGATATTTTTGTATAACTATAGATGGAACTCATAAGACTTTTAGTTGTGTTTTATTGTGTTCTTTCAAATGAAATTTTGGTCAGTTTAAAAGAAATTGCTTTTGTTTCAGGAAACACAATTTATCTTTGGGAGTTTTTACTGGCACTCCTCCAGGACAAAGCTACTTGTCCTAAATATATCAAATGGACCCAGCGAGAAAAAGGCATTTTTAAGTTGGTAGATTCTAAAGCAGTATCCAGGTTGTGGGGGAAGCACAAAAACAAACCTGATATGAATTATGAGACCATGGGAAGAGCTCTCAGGTATGTGAAGTTTTTGTAGTTCATTGTGTTAAGAATATTATTTCCTAAACATTAAAATATAGATAATTTCTAAAAAGTTAAGAAATTTAAAAAATGGTGAATTTTATTTATTGAAGTGCTAAAACCACACTACTTATAGAAATGAGTGTGCATTTAAATTGAAATCTTATTTCAATCCAGAAAATGTTTGCCTTCCAAAAAAGATCTTCATGCAAACAACAGATATTTTATTTACAAAGGGATTGGAAAATGTTAAGGTATCATTAGGTCTTGCAAATTGACCAAGGGCCTTATATGTTTTGAGCCATGAAGCTTAAATTTAGCACAAAGTACAAGTAGTGGTGATGCAGGTACTTAGTAAGGGGTGCAATTTTAAAAATAAATCTCAGGTGTGATATGTAATATCTTATGTTGTAATAAATTATTACTTTGAGGATAATATTAGACATTTTCAACTAGAGTATCATTTTATTTTTCAACTCACTTTTAGTTTTTCTATGATCATGTCAACATATGAATGTATTTGAGAAAGATTTATTAGAAAAGCAATGATGTGGTAACTTGATAACCTTATTAAACTAGAACTATGTATTTAGTTACAGTTTTTTTTAACCTTACACTTTTTGGTAACTAATTTAATTAAAATTACTGACAGAATTTGAATCCCTTCTATTTGTACATTAAATTTTAATTAGAAAACTGAATTAGGTTCACAGAATCAAATTTAAACTGGTAGGGATGTTATGGGAAGCTGTGGAAGGGAAATAGTTTCTTGAGGTTGGTACTAGATTTGATTATTCCAGTAAATTAGCAGAAGGGTAGAGGAAGAAAGAAAAATGAAGGCTAGAATAATCCATATACTTTATCAATAATCCCCTAATACGAATTGGTTTTAGATTTAGTCAGTAATAAGGACTTTGCTCTATCTGTGAGTAAATGTGTGTTTTACATATACTTAGAAAATAATGTTTTCATTGCTCTATCTTACATAAAATAACTTCCCTTTGTTTAGAATGTCTTTTCTCACTTTTTTTTCCAACTTCAAACTTTAGTTCACTATTAGGAATTTTTTGATGAATATTGTTTTAATTTGTTTAATTAAATAAAATATTGATGAAATTGTCTGTTTTGAATAGGTACTACTACCAAAGGGGTATTCTGGCCAAAGTAGAAGGTCAGCGCTTGGTGTATCAGTTTAAGGAAATGCCAAAAGATCTTATTTATATAGATGACGAGGATCCAAGTTCCAGCATAGAGTCTTCAGATCCGTCACTGTCTGCAACAACCACTTCAAGCAGGAACCAAGGAGGCAGATCAAGAGTATCTTCAAGTCCAGGGATAAAAGGGGGAGCCACTACAGTTCTAAAACCAGGGCATTGTAAAGCTACAAAAAGCAAAGATCCTGTGGAAGTCACCCAGCCATCAGAAGTTTTGAGGACAGTGCAGGCTGCACAGTCTCCATATCCCACCCAGCTCCTCAGGACTGTGCATGTAGTGCAGCCAGTACATACTGTCCCAGAAGGAGAAGCAGCCCTCATCAGCTGTGTGCAGGATGAAACATTAAATTCTTCTGTTCAGAGTATTAGGTGAGAAAACTAAAGTTTATCAATGTGTAGTATGTAACATACCTGACCAGAGCCAGTTTTTGTTAAGTGGGTCAAGATTCAGAGTGAAAATAAAAATGATAAAGATTCCAAGCTAGAACTTTTATTCAACAGATCATTTCAACATCAATATATTACACATTGGTATAATACAATGTATTATACAATATATTATACATTATATCAGACTTATGATTGTATCAATGTTTCCTTTATTTTTATACTTTGACATTATTTAATGTTATTCTATCAGTTTAAGTCTAATGCATTATACATTTTTATAACTGGATTGATCCATACAATGAGGGATCCACATATAAGAAAACCCAGAGAATGGTTTTAGATTTTTTTCAAAGTCAGAATCTATAAAAATTCAACAACAATGGACATATTATGACCTTTTGGAATACATTAAGTTCCAAGAAAAAAACATTATTTCTTGGGAAAATCCTATTATGGAACAGTTATTTCGAAAGTTCAAACAGGGATAGAGGCCAAGAATCTAATGTCATTCTTTTTCAGGCTTTCAGAGGGCAGAAGTTGGCTTAATCAAATCAAATTTGCTTCATAGCCTCAGGAAAGATATACGAAACAACAGATTGACCAAAAAAACCCTATCTGTTTTAGAGTGATCTTTTGCAGAAAATTGAGTCTGGTTTTGGCTGATTTAGAATGGGGAGAAGGGAAAGAGGGAGAAAATTAGATACATGTTTGCAATGTTCCATTTTCCTTTTTCTACTGTCATGAATTTTTAGAACATGAATTATAATAAATATAGGAGCCCTTCCAAATCTAATAAAAATGATTCTTTCATTATTAATGAAAATAATCAACTTCAGTCTTATATTTGTATATTCCAGAACATAAATGCTGGATTTTTGTTCAGTTGATCTCAAAGTAAGCAAATATTACCTAGAATTAAGATAGACTTGGTTCAGTCTTTCTTGTATGGTCCATTTAAACCTTGACATTGTGAATATTGAATTCTTTTAAGATCTTTAGTGGACTTGCAAGGAATGTAAAGATCACATTTTTTTTTTCAGATAAGGGACAGGGATTATACATCTTTAGCTGACATTAAAGAAGTACTTATTTAGCTCTCTCTCTATTTCCTTTTAATGTTTTATTTTCCTTCAGATCCTATTGGTTGCATGTGATGACTGGTTGTGTAATTGGAAGTATATGGTTCCTTCCATTGTTTTCTAGGCTCCTTGTCATCTTATCATATGTATTTGTATTGATAAGAAACATACAATGCCCACAGCTAATCACTGGAACCCCCTTCTTGGAGTCATTCAGTGTTTTTTTAGCATCTGTAATCAAAGTTTCCTTTATAGACCTTGAGAATAATCCCCTCATAAAAACCATATCCCTCTATTTCTGAAAGATAGTAATTTGTGATATTATATTGGATACTTTATTACTCTGAATGTCAGTTTCTCATTAAGACTCAGTACTGAACATGAAAATATTGTTAATTATCTTTGGTGTGCCTTTCAGAATTTTCATTTCAAGATCTCTGAGAGTTCTGTAGACTCTGCCTGCTTCTTGCTTCTACTAATTTTCCTCTTTAGTCCAACCTGTATATTAGTACTACTCATTGCTTTGTTATGTTACATTCTTCTAGGTTTTGTTAGATCTGTGTTGCTCACAGAGTGCAGTCCAATTTCTGTGGCCTCAGCTGCCAGCTCTAACCCTATGCTCGTAATTCTTTCCTTGCTCCCCTGATGAAGCTGACTGCTTGCCTTTACCTCAGTCTAGTGCGTAGACTAGGTGTTTCAGTTTACTTTAATGCTCGCCTCCTCCTATATATTTAAATCTGTAGGAGCCAGATATTATTCACTGTCCTTTTCCTAGCACCTAATATGTTACTTGGCATATAACATCTCCATATTTATAGAATTTATTTTGAAGGAGTATATATATTCATTCTTTAATCTTCTCATAGAGCAATGAGTTCTCTAAGTGGACTACTTATAGAATGAAGTAATAAAAATTTAATTTTTAAAAATTTTAAAACATATTTTCTTATTGTAGAAATTATTCTATATTTGTATGTAGATATGTATGTATTTGAATACATTCTTATTCATTCTTTTTTTTTTATTTTTTTCTTTTTTTTAAGATTGTATTTATTTTTAGAGAGGGAAGGGAGGGAGAAAGAGAGAGAGAGAGAGAAACATCAATGTGTGGTTGCTGGGGGCCGTGGCCTGCAACCCGGGCATGTGCCCTGACTGGGAATTGAACCTGTGATACTTTGGTTCGTAGCCTGAGCTCAATCCATTGAGCTCCGCCATCCAGGGCTACATTCTTTTTATTTTTAAAAACACCCTTCTATTATCTGTTTGTATATATTTTTTCTACTCCCAAATCTTATTTCAAAGCAGTCAAAGCTTTAATCGAATGCATTTTATTCCCTGAAATTATTAGCTGTGGTAAGGCAGGAGTTAAGGAATAATAGCAACGCTCTTTGAACACTTGACAGCTGCTGAATATAATTATTCAGGTTTTGCTATTATGTTGTTTCTTTCTATTATGTAGAAGGAAAGTAAAAGTGTTAAATAAGTTTCAAGCAAATTGTACATAACTCTGAAATTTTAACATTATTAGTTTTTCATTAGATTAATTTATTTTATGATTTCTTTTTTAATTTGCATTTTAATTACCGTAGCTTTTTATTATGAAAAAATTTTAAATCTGGAAACATTGAAATAGTATAATGAATACCTACTTACCATCCACCTAGGTTTTATTTTTTTCACTTATAATACAATTCCTTTATTATAATGATTTTTTTATTTTAATTGTTGTTCAAGTACAGTTTTCTGCCTTTTACTCCCATCCCAGCCCACCCCCAGCCCTCCCCACCTCCCTCCCATTTCCACTCCCCCTTATTTTTGTCCATGTGTTTTTTATACTTGTTCCTGTAAACCCTTCCCCTTTTCCCCTGAAATTCCCTCCCCTCTCCCCTCTGGTCACTGTCAACCTGTTCTCTCTTTCAGTGTATTTGGTTATATTTTGCTTGCTTGTTTGTTGTGTTGTTTAGGTTCCTGTTAAAGGTGAGATCATATGGTATTTGTCTTTCACCACCTGGCTTATTTCACTTAGCATAGTACTTTCCAGTTGCATCCATGCTGTCGAAAAGGGTAGGAGCACCTTCTTTCTTTCTGCTGCATAGAATTCCATTGTGTAAATGTACCATAGGTTTTTGACACATTCATTTACTGATGGGCACCTAGGTTGCTTTCAACACTTGGCTATTGTAAATTGTGCTGCTATGAACATTGGGATGCATAGGTTCTTTTGGACTGATGTTTCAAGGTTCTTAGGATATAATCCTAGTAGTGGAATTTCTGGGTCAAAAGACAAATCCATTTTTAGTTTTCTGAGGAAATTCCATACAGTTTTCCATAGTGATTGTACCAGCCTGCAATCCCACCGACAGTGCACTTTTCTCCACAACCTCTCCAACACTTACTGTTTGTTGCTTTGTTTATGATGGCCATTCTGACCAGTGTAAAGTGGTATCTCACTGTGGTTTTAATTTGCATGTCTCTGATAGCTAGCAAACTGAGCATCTTTTCATGTGTCTCTGGATCCTCTGTATGTCCTCCTTGGAGAAGTGTCTGTTCAGGTCCTTTGCCCATTTTTTAATTGGGTTGCTTGTCTTCTTAGAGCATCCACCTAGGTTTTAATTGATAGCTTTTTCCTAACTTGTTTTCTCACTATATATTTATTTATGCCCTTTTTTTCTGTTTGGCAATTTGTCAAGTAAGTTGACGTCATTATGGCATTTCATCCCTAAAGATTTCAATCTTCAACTTTTAAGAATAGAGATGTTATCCTAAATAACTATTTTATCACTTCAAAGAAAATTAAAAAATAATTTGGCTATATCTTTATTGACTTGATGACTACTTATTAATAAAAATCAAAGACCTTTTAAAGATTTTTCTGTAGTTATAAGTTAAGTCATACATATGACTTAATTAATGTGTAAGCTGACACTGTTAAAACACTATTTCATACATTTTACATATATTAATATATAAAATCCTCATGCTCAATGAGGTGTAGATAACATTATTCCTATTTTACAGATGAGGAAACTGAGGCAAGGGGAGGCCAAGGAGGCTGATCACCTCTAGTAAGTGGTGGAGATAGCATTTTAATGCACACAGTTTAGTGCAAAGCAGTGGCTTAATGATTTGCCATACTGCCTGTTGATTCACATAAATTGCATGAATTATATTGGTTATTTACAATGAAGTGGTGACATGTCTTTTATTTTCTCAATTTTTTTGCTCATTTATTTTTATCTCACATAATTGCATGTATTTATGTTGAAATCAATTAAGCTTTTCTTAATGGATTTTGCTATATGTGATGTGGTTTTACAAATTTAATTTTGACTCTGGCTTCATGTTATTCAAAGAAATAACAAATATAAACCTCTGGTAAAATATATTTCTAAAATTGCCCTATGATAAACTTGGAAGTTCATATACCTACCTAGCACAACTTCTTTCTCTTTAATATTTATTCAAGCACTAAGATTAGCCTCTAAAAATGTATAATGTATAAATTACCTTAAAAGCAGTATAATGGAGCCTTGTGTGTTATTAAATGTGACATTGAATTATATTAATTAACTACTCTGAGTCTGTTTCCTCATCTACAAAATAAAGATAATAACCTTACAGAAAGTTATAACAACCAAAAGACACTTCCTGACAACTGAGTAGATACTCAACAAAACTTGTTACACAGTACACAGTCCTGTCCCACATAATGACATTTCTGCCAGTGATGGACCACGTATTCAATGGTGTGGGGCTGAATTTCCTATAAGAAATGGAAAGATATATGGTTCACGAGGAATTTTTTTTTCTCTTGAAGGGAACAATACTTGTGGGGCTTGGCAATAGATTCCCACTTACTCAGAGTACCTCAATTTTGAGCCTATAGATTACATTCCAGGCAGACACTGTGTTTTTCAATGCAGAAAACCTGTCCCCCCAGTTGTTACATATTCAAAAGGTGTTACAACCTTCTCAAAGCTAGCTTGATCATCTTCAGAGTGTGTTGCTGTAAATTCTTTATTAAGGACCTAAGGTCCTGTATAAGGACACAGGTCTATAGGAGCTACCTTAACAAGTATTAAGTGTCACTGCCACTTTAGTAAAAGTTATCTGTGATAGTGTGGAACCTACCTGTGCCTTGGAAATGTTTTCAGGTTGTAATGATGAAAAATATAGATAGGTTTTATTTCTTCCATCAATTCAATGACAGAAAGAGTCCTTTGTGCCAGGTAGGGTCATAGAACCAAAAACAAATTTTCAGTCAAAATATTGAGTCCTCTGTTCTAAACCCTTTCCATGTTAAACAACATTTTTTTTATCCTCGTCTGAGGGAGAGAAACATCGATATGAGAGAGAAACATCTATCAGTTGCTTCTTGTATGTGCCCCAACTGGGGACCAACCCACAACCCAGGCTTATGCCCTGACTGGGAATCAAACCCACAACCTTTCTGTTTACGGGATGATGCTCCAAACAACTGAGCCACACTGGCCAGGGCCAACCTCTTTTTGATGACTACCACACAGTTTCTTAATCTGACCACTGCTCCAGCATTCAATAGCCAAAACCACATTGCCATGACAATCCCCTGTGTTCCTTTATCTCTCAGCCTTGATTTCTTGTTCCTACTGATCTTCAGGCCACCTTTTACTCCCTCCTGACAGTCACTATTATAGTGATCTATGCCTTACCCAGCAAGTTTCTCTTCAATATTTACAATCAGTTCAGCCTACATCTCTGTTCATGGAGCACATTGATATCTTCAATGTTCTATTTCTGACACTGTTGGAAAGAAATAGTGGAAAGGTTTGTGGGACTGTGTTTATAAAGCCTACAGTAGTATGCAGTAATCTAGTGTGTAGTGATGTCCTAGGCCTTCACATTATCTCACCACTTACTGACTCACCCAGAGCAACTTTCAGTCCTGTAAGTTCCACTCATGGTAAGTGCCCTATCCAGGTCTACCATTTTATCTTTTATACCATATTTTTACTGTGCCTTCCTGTGTTTAGATACACAAATACTTACCATTGTGTCAGCTGCCTATAGTATTCAGTATAGTAATACGCTATACAGGTTTGCAGCCTGGGAAGAATAGGCTATACCATATACCCTAGGTATGTGGTAGGCCTTGCCTAGATTAATGTCAGCAATTTTCAACCTTTTCTATCTCATAACACATATAAACTAATTACTAAAAATCTGTGGCATACTAAAAAGTATATTTTTTTCTGATCTGACAAAAATAGGTATCATTTTGACTGACTTACAACAAATAAAATAATAAATACTTACCCCTTTTGCTCCAGAGTGACTTTTGAAAATATCAGGTACCTATACTTGTATGTAAGGATTTCTGATACCAAGAATTACCAGATTAGATGCAGCCACATGACCAATATAGTACAACTCGATTATATGACACGTATGTATGGTTCACAAAACAGGGCATTCACACTGGTCAGCTATTGTTGTATTGGCTGTTGTCATTTTATTATTTGATAATCTAAAGGAAAAGAGATTGTGCCCCTGACTAACTAGTCAGATATTGCACGTTTTAAAAATTCTTGTGGCACATCATTTGAAAATGGCTGATTTATGTAAACGCACTCTATGATGTTCGTTCGCATGACAACATCAAATAACAATGTATTTCTCAGAATATATCCCTGTCATTACACAATGCCTAACTATATTGTTTATCTTAGCTTCAGAAAGAGGAATTTTAAAATACCAGTATTTTACCAGCTGGTTACAAGAAGCTTAGGAGATTTTTTTAAGGTTTTATTTATTTATTTTTAGAGAGAGGGGAAGGGAGGGAGAAAGAGAGGGAGTGAAACATCAATGTGTGATTGCCTCTCACATGGCCCCCACACTGGGGACTTGGCCTCTGATCCAGGTATGTGCCCTGATTGGGAATTGAATCGGCCACCATTTGGTTCCTAGCCTGAGCTCAATCCACTGAGCTACCAGCCAGGTAGGGAATTACCAGCCAGGGCAGGAAATTTTTAAAAGTGGTTTTAATTTTACCTTTTATAGGTAAAAATTTAACCTATAATATAACCTTTTTAATATAGTATAATTTCACCAGATGCAACTGGAAGCGTAATTGTTAAATAATAAAAATATTAAAAATTCCTGTGGTTGGGAAAAGGTTGCATAATATTTTATCCTTGAATCCTTGAATTTTTTATTAGTAAAAATTGTTTTAGAATTTGCCTAAATAAACCAGTTTATTTACATCCCACATAAGGATATATTTCATGGCAGATGACAGTCAGGTATTTCAATAAAGGAACATTTTTTCCTAATTTGAACAAAGTCTATAGTGTTAGCTCTAATTAGCAATATGGAAAATTTCCAAGCACTTTATTGCTTGTGCCACAAACAAGAGAAGGAAAGAGGATGGGAAGAGGGGTGTATTAAAGATTTGTAGGTATCTACAGCTTAAAGATATAATAGTAAATATTCATCTATAGCTGAAGTTATTCAAAAACTTAGGAAATAACAGTGTGTTGTAATGGTTAAGCACATAGGCTCTGCAGTTGGATGGCATTTTATCTAACTGGTCACCTATGCAAACTGTTCAACTTTGTGCATTATTTTTCCACATGTAAAATGGGGATATAGTACTTCCAGAGCTGTAAGGTTATACATAATTATAGAGATAATCTGTATGCTTACTGTATGCCAAATACTATTTTATCTATATGCACATGTACATGAACTCTTGGCATGGAAAGTCCTTGGATCTTTTTTATTAAAAAAAAATGGTATCTAGCTATAGGCTCAGGTATCAAACCCAGGCTCAGATTCCACACAAGATATTCTGATCTAAGTGGGCAGGGGGAGAAGAGAGGCACAGTGTATTTTGGAAAAGCTCCCTAGCTCCCAAAGTTATTCTGTATCCTTCCATTTCATCCCTGCCCTCATTATAATACTAGTATAGCCAACCTTTATTCTTAGCCACACCCTCCCACCTATTATATCTTTACTCTCTGACTTAAAATCTCTTCAAATGCTGTCTTTCACAAGACCTGCTAATATTCTCCTGTAGACTGATCTTGACAATGGTGACTTTGGTGGCAATCTGAACTTGGGAATCAGTATCTTGCATGAATGGGTGAGCTCTAAGTCACCATCATGTGTCTTTCCATTTCCTTTGAACTTCTGATTTACATTTGGTCTTTCTTTCAGTCTTTCTACATACCACATTTGTTTTCTCCTCCACAGTTTCATTTCTTACATATATGACAGGCCACTGTAACTGTAATTGACTAAAATTTATCTTGTAATAATCTGGCAATAGTTAACACTTGGTTTATGGGGAGTAATTTAGCTGTTAACCATTTGAAGTAGCAATAATTTATCTTCTGTATAAAACAGCTTTACACAGTTCAGAGGAAACACAACTGAGATCCAGATGCTGAGTTTTTTCAACTATATTTGTTTTTTATTAACAATGGATGTAACTATAAATTTCACAGCTTCAAACTTTTAAAACTTTCAAACTTTTGATTGACTCTATCATTTATGTACCTCTTTACTCAATAAGTGAGATTAACAGCATTAAATAAAATGGATTTTATGTTAAAAGAGTTTGTATTAAATTGTAGCTTTATGATTAAAATTTTCATAATTATCTGAGCTGAGAAAACTGCTAAAATACACCTCTATTTATTGTACCAAAGCTGGTCTTTGTTTTTTCCTCTCTCTGCCAGCATAAAGAACCTCACAAGGTAATTATATTCATGACTTGTTATGTAATATGATAGGAACTGAACTGTTAAAGTTCTTCTGATAATTCTGTCCCATGAATTTAAGGCTGAGGTGTTTTTTTTTTAAGTCAATCAAACATTTTTCCTCTATATAGAAAAACAAGGTGATGCAATTATAATTATATGAAGTTTAATAATTGTGGATGAGCATGTCAATGTCATTATCCCTCAAATACTAAAGTGCTGTATTTTGCCATGTACAATGCGCACCCATGTTTTTGGCCCAAACTTTCAGGAAAAAAAATCTTTCATTTTAATGTTTTAATCTAATTTTTATTAATTTATATTTAGATGGTTGGTTTTTGTACTATAAAGGAATTTTAGCATTTATTTTTGAACCTATGGTACAACAAATTTTATGTAACAAATAATTACAAAACACAAGAACAGATACAAGTACAAGAAAATTTATATACCAGTAACAAATTAGTACTACCTATGTAAAATGCTCATCCTTATTTTTCCCTCAAAAATTGACGCAAGAAGTGTGCATTATACACGGCAAAATATGGTACTGAGAGTGATTCACTACATTTGTTTTAAAATTCCTAATTTTCTTTTAAGCAGCTCATATATAACTTTCATGCTAAACATTTTGATATCTCCCTCCTTCCCGAACAAAATTGCTTCCCCATTTGTGTTAATGTGGTACTTTGTACAGACTTTTTAAAACCAGATACTATCATAGTTAACAGCCTGAGAGTTTTGTTTTGGACATTTCTGTATGCACAGTGTTTACTACAGGGCCTGGCATGATATTTGTTTTGTTGTGTTGAAAATATACAACATAGCATTTGAAATATATAACTTGTATTTTGGCAAAATGACTTGTCAATGTTGAAGTTTTAAATAATATGGACTATGTTAATTTTCTGAAATTTATTTCCAAATCTCAATAGGACTATACAGGCTCCAGCCCAGGTTCCAGTGGTCGTGTCTCCTGGGAATCAGCATGTGCACACAGTAACACTCCAGACAGTGCCAATCACAACAGTTATAGCCAGCACAGATCCATCGTCAGGTGCTGGGTCTCAGAAGTTTATTTTACAAGCCATTCCACAATCACAACCCATGACAGTGCTGAAAGAAAATGTCATGTTACAGTCTCAGAAGTCAGGTTCTCCTCCTTCAATTGTCTTGAGCCCTGCTCATGTACAGCAGGTTCTCACTAGCAATGTGCCGTCCATTTGCAATGGAACCGTCAGTGTTGCTTCATCTTCATCCTTCAGTGCTACTACGCCTGTGGTGACCTTTTCTCCTCGCAGTTCACAATTGGTTGCCCACCCACCAGGCACTGTAATCACTTCAGTTATCAAAGCTCAAGAAACAAAAACTCTTACACAGGATGTAGAGAAAAAGGAGGTTGAAGATAATTTGAAAGAAGACACTGAGAAAACTGAACAACAGCCACAGCCTTACGTGATGGTGGTTTCCAATTCCAGTGGATTTACCTCTCAGGTAGCTATAAAACAAAATGAACTGCTGTAATGCAACTCTTTTTAATTGAAAGAGATCAACCAAAAGAATTATGGATGATTGTTTTTTAATTGAACATTTCCAATTGAATGCAAACTATCTGATTCTAAGACAATTTCTAAAGATGTTCCTAATTTTGTAGTTGTTAAAAAGAATAGAGTTAATTTTGACTTTGTTAGATGAGAGAGGAAAACCAAACTGTTTTTCTTTGTTTGCCAAATGTTTCAGAATGCAACAGGCATTTTATACTATGAAGACATTCTTTTGAGATTTTTTTCAGTTGTGCTATAAGCATTTTTAAAGTTCTTTTTAAATTTTACATTGTATTATCTTTTCTTATTGTTTTGTAAATACAGTACTTACATAGAAGATAACAGGAAATTTATATAGGAACTATTTTCATTCCACTTGTGTTAAGTCTTTACTCTTTCAAATGCTAGATACCTATTTTATGCTTTGTTAAAATTATGGTTTCACTAGATTGACTTTCCGTTGGTTGCATTGTATATTGAACTATGAATATGTAAAATATAACATTAAAAATTGCAGTGTGCCCATGGTGTGGCTGAAACTTTTTCAGAAGCAGGATGGTATAAAAAGAACCTAAAAGTGGCTCTCCCACTGACTAGTTTTGTAACCTTGGGCAAGCTACTTGTTCTTTTTGGCTTTATTTCTCTCATGAAAGAAGGAATGCATTTGGATTAGGGAAGATGATCTTCAGTTTTCTTTCTAGTTATAAATTTTATGATTCCAACTCTTGTATTTTAAAATTGTATCAATTAAAACATTATCAGCCAATTACCTAATGTAAGTATAGCTAAAATATTGCAGAAAAATAAGTGGCCATACAAAATTCATTCTTCTATTATTTGTAACATTGTTATAAAACTGAATTCTTCCTAAGTACTTTGTTTATTAACTAGTCAGGCCCTTGTGCACTGTCGTCTATTAGTAAACTTAGGTTGTTGAGTGCTAAATGATAAACTGCTGTTCTGAAAGACTCTTTCTCAAAGGCCCAGAAAGCATTCAAGCCCTGGGCTACTGTTTGAGTATAAAAGTTGCTATAAAAGCATAGTTGCTTTATATTTTGGATCTTTTTTTAATTGGGAGTGGGGGAGATTGCATACAAAGATAATATACATATATATCCAAGTGTCTGAAATAATTTTAGATGACTTTTTCAGCTGTAAATAATGTACATTTAATTTCACAAAAAAATTGTTTTCTGCAAATTTTCTAGTATAAGAAAGAAATTTTTGTAGATGAAAAAATAATTTTGTTTAGAGATCTAATGTTATAAGTTTTCATATTAAGTAGTGAATTTGTATTTAAACAAAAATTTAAATTTTGGAATCCTCTAAACATTTTTGTACCTTAAATTGGTTTATTATTAAATAAATCATGTAAAAATTCTCAATGTTTGTGTTTTCAAGCAAATGTTTCATAAAAACAAGTATACAGAAAATGTTTCTAGTATTTACAGTGTTGGTAAATGTTAACATAACAGATCCCATTAGTCAGAATTGCAGATTGTCATCCTCTCATTTTTCCTTTCTACCACACCAAATGGCAGTTTCCAGACATCACACAATGGATCACAACACTCCGAAAGTTAGAAAATAATAAAATGTTTTTAGTGATAATATCAAACATAATTTTAAAAACAAGTTTTCTAATTATAAATTATATCAGTTAATTGGTTAACAGAACAGAATAGAGTAAGAGAAACAGAAAATATTAGAAAATTGAAATCTCAATTTTATACCTCTCTATCCAGAAGTTACTTTCACTTACTCATTTTCTTTGTATTTTATTTTATTCATTTATTTTTAGAGAAAGGGAGGGAGAAAGAGAGGGAGAGAAACATCAATGAGTGGTTGTCTCTCCTGTGTCCCCAACTGGGGACCTAGCCCATAACCCAGGCATGTGCCTTGCCTGGGAATCAAAGTGGCAACCCTTTCATTCACGGGCCAGCGCTCAACCCACTGAGCCACACCAGCCAGAGCCACTTACTCATTTTCTCATGTCAGTTAATACTCTTCCAAAATATGATTTTAAGAGGAGCATTCTTACTTCTAAAGATGGAGAATGCTGAGAAGGATTGGAATGAACAGACCTTGCTGTTTTCCTAATTCACTGCCCTTTGCTCATGCCCTTTTGTTCTATTGTTTTTTTCAACAACTTTCCACTCTTCCTTAAACCTAGTATGAAAACACTCATGCTTAACAATTTCTTTGAGTCTCTATTTCTTTATGAAGGCTCCCATGTCATATAAAACTAATATTAAATTGGCATTCTTTTCTCCTTTAAAACTTTTTCCTCCCCCAGAACTCTCTCTAGCTGTGTATCCACTAATATAATCTGCAGTATGCAGTATGCAGGTTGTATCCAGATTGTTAACATCATACTAAACAACTGAATAGAGGCATAGCTCTCACTCAGTACTTGGCCTTTGTACATCAAATCATTAATTCAACATGTATTTGTTAAAGAGAAGCACCTGTGATGTGACTGTCACTGTCCTTAACCTATGAACCTGCTGCTTTCCTTACTTTATATTCATTCTTTAACCCTCTTTAGTATTGCATTTGCCCTCATTATTACCCTGAAATTACTTTTGCAAAGGTCACACTAAATAGTAATCAATTTCCATGTGGCCAGATCTCCATCCTTCTCTTCCTTGACCTCTCCAGCATTTGATAACTTTTTATAACTCACTCTTCCTTTAAACTCTCTATTGCTTTCACTGTAGTGCCCAACTAGTTCATGTCCTTCTCCTGCCTTTATAATAACTTCTCAGTGTTCCTCTTGAGTTTCTCCAGAGACTTTTTCAAAAGTCTCTGAAAGTTGGAGTTCCCTCAGGTTTTATCTCTGGTCACTGTGCTTCTCATTCTCTTTGCTTCACTTTGTCCACTTCCAGTCTGTTCTCCTTAATGCTACAGTAGTGCCAGTTTAATTATGTCAAGCCCTTCAGTGGTTCCTTACTGTCCTCAGATAGTGTTGTGGCCCTGCATGGTGTCACAAGAAGATCATGGTGTCATGATTTTCTTGATCCTACCAGCCTTATCTTCAAATTTTACTCTAAATCACACTGTCAGGATTAGGATTCTTTAAATTGCAAGAAACAAAACCTAATTCAAAATTATTAAATAGTACAAAACAAGAAATCTGGAATTAGGAGTTTTCCAGGTTGGTTAATTCAGGAGTTCAGTGGCAATACTAAACAATGAGATTTCTTCCATTTTTCTGCTTTACCATCCTCAAGATTTCGCTTTAGTTGCCGCGATGACTCTTGCCATGGTTGCAAGATAGCTGCCGTAGTTCCATATATGTTTCCGTTTATCAGTAAGAAGACCTTTCCCAGAACATCCTGAGCAGTCATCTCTTCACATCTTATTTGCTAGATTGGTCATATGCCCCTTAAACCAATTACTGGCCAAAGAAGCAGGATTACGGATTTAGTCATGTATTGGGAAGATGGACAGCTAAATAAAATTGGGGTCCCATAGGAAGGAATAAGGGTGGAATGGTACAGCCCACTGTCACCTTATACACATGTTTCTTCTTATACATTCACCTTCAAAAATGTTCATACCTACAGGAAACACACTCTTTCCCAAAGGGAGATCAGCCAACTATAATTCAAGACTAGGCTCATCAAGGTGATATGCAGTCCTCTTTATCAAATCAGCTGTGCCTCCCTAGTTCTTGTCTTCACAGCCACATCTAGTGTGAGCTCTGGTGAGAGAAACATCAACTGGTTGCTTTTTCATACATGCCCCAACTGGGGAATGAACCTGCAACCTGGGTATGTGCCCTGAATGGGAATGGAACCTGCAACCGTTTGGTTATGGGATGACACTCCAACTGAGCCACACCAGCGAGGGTCAGAATATACTTCTTTGATGGTGTACGTTTGATGCCCTGACTCAGAGTCCCCACTTTCCCAGCACTGTGTCCTCAGTGCCCTCCATTCTGCCTCTTCTACCTAGCTTTTTATACATTCTAGGGTCTATTTTAGAGTATTCCGGTTCCAAATACCAGATTATCAGTTTGGGTTCTTGGTCATTAGCAACAGTGATGGATTCTGGTTTTCAGCATAAAAGATTTTATTAGAAGAATATTGTGCCACTCACAGAATAGACAAGAAGAACTAGAGAATCAAGGTCAATCTAAGTCACATAGCTAGGAACAACTTGCAAAACTACACTGCACAACTGGTCAGATGAGGAAATTGTAGCCACTGTTACCAAGCATTAAATCCTGAGTTTTGTACCACTGTCTCTACTGCTATAGAAATTTTATTTTGATATAACTTCATCTACAGAGTATTAACCAAGGTCCTTTTTGTATGCATTGTATTAACTAGCTACTAACTTATGTGATTGGTAGAGCCTAGGTCAAGTATCTAGGCCTTTAACTCCAAGAAAAGTTGAGAAAGCAAATTCAGCTTCTCAACTGTTTGGCATTTCAGCTTCTATAAAGGGAGTTGCCACAATGGGAGCTAAGATGTAGGGAATTCTCCCAAACATAGAAGGGGGCCTAGATTCTGTGCTGCCCAAAAGAAGGACCAATCTCCTATGTAAGAGCAAATCCAGATTTTGTGGGGCCTGAATTTACACAATTTGGTGGTTGAGTAGGTAAGGGGCCCTTATTTCAGAAAAACACAAAATTAGAATACCAAATTAGATAGAGGGTTTGAAGCAGTTTATACAAATAGCCCTGAAGCTATAATTCCCAACTCTTTGTGTTCCTTCTCCTTTCCAGACCTCTGAGTTTGCTGTCACTCTGCTTGGCACAGATCATCTTACTCTGTTTGGCTAGCTCGTACCTGTTCTGCACGCCTCAGCTTAGACATTATTTCCCCTGAGAGCTTTCTCTGAGCCCTTAAAACCTTGCCACTGCTTCATGGAGCCCTTTAATTTCTCCTATTTGGGCACATATGACACTAATTGCCTGCTGACATGTGTCACACCAACACTAGATTATGAAGAGGAAATATTGTAGTCATTTTAGTACTCTGAGTCCTTAGCATAATATCTATAGAGAGTAGGTATTCAATAGTTATTAAATATGACTATACTACATGTTCTTCTTTCCTATTTTCATGCCTATGTTCTCATGTTGCTACTATCTGTATGCTGATGATTACCAATTCTTTTTTGAAATGTTTTTATTTATTGAGTTTTTGAGAGAGGGAGAAAGAGAAACATCAATTCGTAGTGCCACTTACTGCTGCATTCATTGGTTGATTCTTGTATGTTCCCTGACTGGGGATCAAACCGGTAACCTTAGTGTATTGGGATGATGGTCTAACCAACTGAGCTAACTGGTCAGGCCTGATTATCAATTCTTTAATGCAGCTCTGAACTTGGTTTTAAAATGTTTTCATAAAGCTATAATTGATATATAATAAACTGTACATATTTGAGGGTACAAACTCATGAACTCATCACCATAATCAAGCAGTGAACTTATCCATATGTTTGGTTAACCTTACCCCAAAGGTTTCCATGTGCCTCCTTGTAACCACTGCCTTCTTGATGTTCTTCCCTGCTTTTGGCCCATTTCACCCCTCAGACAACCACTGATCTGCTTTCTGTCACTATATATTACTTCACATTTTCTAGAATTTTATGTAAATGGAATCAAATATTATGTACTGTACTTGTCTGGCTTATTTTACTTATAATTATTTTTATATTCATCCATGTTGTAGTGTGTATCATTCCTTTTATTGCTGTGTCACATTCCATTACAAGGGTATACTACAGTATATTTCCCTATGCACCTGTTGATGGACATTTGGGTTGTTTCTAGTTTTCAGCTATTACCATTAAATCTGCTATAAATATTTCTATACACTTCTTTGTATGTGCATGTATTTTCACATCTCTTGGACAAATACCTAGGAGTTGTCTGTCTGTGTCATATGATGTTGTATCATTTTACATTCCCACCAGCAGTGTATGAGTCTTACAGTTGCTCCATATTCTCTTCACCATCATCAGTCTTTTATATTTTAGCGAATGTGCACTGATATTGCATTGTGTTTTTAATTTGCATTTTCCTAATGACTAAAGAGTTGGAACACCTTTTTTGTGATCCATGTATCTTCTTAGATGGAAAGATTGTTTTAAAAATTTTTTGCGTATTTTAATTCTGCTGTCTTCTTATCAGTTTTGAGAAATCTATATATCCTGGATACAAGTGTTACTGATCCTAAGTCATGTGCCTGAAACTTGAAAAGGTCAAACCTCAAATTATCAGTTTAGAGTAAGGAGAGGTTTATTGGTCAAGAAGATGCCAACTGGACACTTCCGGCAAGATGGAGGAATAGGTGGACGTACTGTACCTCCTCGCACAACCAAGAATAGAACAACAATAATTTACAGACGGAATAACACTCAGAACTGA